GAGTATGGGTCACCATACTTGGCCACATGTCACGTCACTTTTCACTTTTTCACTTTTCACTTTTCAATATTACAGCGAGAATAAAAGTTACTCCTTCTTTCTTTGTGTGAACATTTGGGCGGTGTTATGCAAATCTTCCCAGATAGTGACGTAGACATGTGGGGGCGTGTTAGAACGAGCCGTTTTAGGTAGGCGTGGTTGACTCTTAACTTTTATAAAGAATATCTCTTTGGATTTGAGACTTTAGTCTTTGCAACTTTACAGATCTTCTTTATGCACCAAGAGCTTGTAACACTCCAAAGAATTTCAAAAATTGCAATTGCATCATATGACCCCTTTAAACTTTCATTCATTGAAAACAGCAAATAGCACATTATTGACTCTTTTTGCGTTCTATAACAAATAAAGTGAACAGATTTTGGAACAACATTTGAGTGACTAAATGACAGCGCTATAATGACCATTGAAATGTCCATATTGTTGAGATGTGAATGACACACCTCTTCCTGAGGCTGACCCTAATATATTTCTCATAAATAACATAGTAATAACTCACATATGAACAGTATAAGAAGTCCTCCCAGGACTGCGCGTCTGTGTTTAGTGTCTTCAGTCTCTTGGCTCAGTTTGACGCATGGCATCGCCAGCAACACGAGCGCCAGAGCCGGCAGACCGAGCAGAGAGGAGGAGACCATCAGAGCGCGAGACGTCTGGATGTAAGCTTCAAACAAACACAACGACAAATGCATTCAGCCTCCCCGACAACCTATAATTTGCACACAAAAAACTGATATATACATTACAAAAAGGGCACGTATATACAATTTTTAATAATTCCAGCGAACTTTTCAACTCAAATAATATTCTAGAGTTAAAAAGGACATTACTGACTAATAAAAACAACTAAACTAAATGCCGATTTGTTTAAAATCCATAAATCGGAAGAAAATAATAATGCATGCAAACAAAATAATGATTTTAATAAATATGAACATATGTTGAACTCTTTCTCACCTGGTATATCGAGGATCTGGTTGAGTGAGAGGCAGTGATAGAGAGCAGTAGAGATGACGCACTCTGTCCACAAGCCCTTGGTCTCCAGCTCATCCATCTTCCTGCAGGTGTGCATGCCGTATTTACAGGTCACCACCCAGTCGTTTGTTGAGGTCGCTATTATAATACCAGTCCAGCCGATGCAGCTCATTAAAAAACCACAAAGCAGACGACAGCTATGGGACATTCTGACTCAATATACAAATGTGTTCGCAGAGATGTTGTTTATGGTGTTCAAGTAAAAAAAACTAATACAAAAACATTAAAAATATTTAAAGATCACTTATCCTAAATTATGGAGAAGATTAGCATACTAACAGTTTGAGAGTGGACTGTGAAAACAATCCATTTGGCAAATTTACTTTTTATAATGGACGTGCTCAACAGAACTTTCAGCCAATCAGAAGAAAGCACAGCCACATACGTCACAATCGCCTTCCCTCAAAGCTTGGAGAATAACATCTTTGATTTATTACAGAAATAATTAAGTCTCTGCTTTTATTTTCTATCTCAGTGTTATATTTTTCGGCTTATTCCCAAATTAAATAATCGTTATAATATTTCACAAACTACAACAGAACTTTGTGTCAACCATAACAATTTAAAAAGACGCTTTCTGAGGAAGTATGAAATTACTATTTTGGGTGTGAATGCCATCTAGTGGGTTAGATAATATTATGCTGTCCAAGACCAATTTTTGACATCAGAAAAGAATGATCAACAAGGAGGTTAAAAGAACAATCAGATATGCTAAACTAAATTACAAAAACAAAATAGAAAATAACTTTGTTCAAGGTGATATGAGGGCAGTCTGGCATGGGATAAAGAACATATGGCGGATAAGTATACCGAAGCAAGGAACGGTGAAGGACGTTGATGGTAATTTATTGGTCAACGACCTGAATTTGTTTTTTACACGTTTTGAGAAGCATGATACAAGTGCTGTTCTTGATGATTTTAAACAAAAATTGAGCCCCTCTACCTCTTTGAATTTGCATCTTATGTAATGAAGCAGCTGAAAGCTACACCTGTTATCAAAGCGCCTGGTCCAGACGGCATCTGTGGGAGAACACTTAAAACACTGCAGAGCAGCTCAGTGTTGTGTTTCACTCACTGTTTCAGGCATCCCTGGATCAAGCTGTAGTTCCTTGCTTATGGAAAACGTCTAACATAATACCTACTCCTAAGCGAGAGAAGTCACATTCTTTTAAGGATTTTCGGCCCATTGCATTAACTTCTTTAGCTATGAAAGCCTTAGAGAGGGAAGTTAAGTCACAACTTATCACAGTTACGTGTCATAAGTTAGATTCTTTACAGTTTGCATATCGCACTAAAAGAGGTATGGATGATGCAAAGCCGTTCCGCTTAAATACCACACAACAACATTTAGAGAATGGAGGCACATTTGCTAGAATGCTGTTTGTTGATTATTCCTCTGCGTTCAACACAATGAATCCTATTATTTTAGCGAAGAAACTTGTATGTGAATTTGATGTGAGTCACGACAGCAAAAGAGTCATGTTGAATGGAGTGTTGTTGGATACGCTTGTTACGTCAATTGGATCTTCTCAGGGGTGCCTATAGCCTACTGTCTTCAATTCTCTTTATACTCTGAGTCTATACAAATGAATGTGGCAGCACTAAGGATAACTGTCACGTAGTTAAATATGCTGATGACACAGTTTTTCTATCTTTGTTAACAAGTGCAGAATGTGATGACAGTAACGATCACGAGTTCTTTGAGTGGTGCAAAGAAGCTGAACTACAAACTGAATATTACTAAAACGAAAGAGATGGTAATTGATTTGAGAAAAAACGCCTCAAAGGTGAAACCTGTGTATTTTTATGGAAAAAAAGTTGAAAGGGTACAGGAGTACAAGTATCTTGGAACTATCTGTAAATGACGACTGCTATGTTCATTATTATATCCAACAACAGAACACCTCAATCGTTTAGGAGTCATTCTTGTCTACATCTGCTCCAGTTGTAATACAATGGTGGACTGATGACAGTCACTCAGGGCGGGTCTAAGGTAAGACACCAGTCCAGTCTGTGCTGAAACGCTACTGTCAATCAAACTATCGTGGGAGGGGCCTGTCTGTGTGACGTCACACAGACAGGCATCTGAGATCGGCTCGATTTGAGAAAAGAGAAAACATTTAACACGATTTAAAAAAAAAAACACTGGGTGGCTTTTTATCATTATAGGGTGGTTGTGTACACACACTGCCAACACACATTTCAGTTCAACCAACTTGTAAATGTACATGTAGCATCCTATGACCCCTTTAAGAAAGTGAATCAAAAACGTAAGCTCTTAGGAAATTGAACTCCTTCTGTGTACAAAAAAACATACTGAGAACTTTTTATACTACTTTTATTGAGAGTATCTTGAGTTTTTCTTTTTTTATGCTGGTAATCTTCACTCTCTCTTAGGAATAAGAATTGTTTGCAGACCTTAGTTAGGCCTTTGTGGAGTCTAGCAGAATTCTACAAGCAACAAATGTTACGGAAAACTTGTAGTATTACAGGAGATGACTCTCACCCCTTGAAGGTTTACTTTGAGGTATTGCCCTCTGGAAGAAGATTCAGAAGCATTAAATGTTCATCGAATAGATATAAATTCACTTTTGTTCCAGAGGCTATACGTTTTTGCAATTCAAAGTTTTAGTAATTTTATTTCTTATAGTTATGAATGGAATTTATTATGAAGCATGCTGGGTTGTGTTTTTACTTATTTATCTCTTTGTATTGTCTAGGTGGCTGGCCAATCACAGCACACCTTGCTTTTTCAGACCGATGAGCTTTGTAAAAATCGACGCGTTTCAAAAAGGCGGGGCATAGAGGAGAAACAATAATGTACAGTATGTGGAAAATAATGTGTTTTTTTTACTTTAAACCGCATAAACACATTTCATTACACCAAATACACAAAATAATGTTCTTTTTAGCAGCATCATATGACCCCTTTAAAAAAAAAAAGAAACATATCTGGAGGCTTTATGATGACTCATACCAAGCTCAGAGAAACCCTTACTAAATGACAGAAAACAGATTTATACACTACTGTTCAAACGTGTGGGGTCAGTAAGATCTTTTTTAAAACTAGATTTTATTGTATTTATTTATTTTTTTCCTGGATGACAAAGCTTATTTTTCAGCAGCCATTACTCCAGTGTCACATGATCCTTCAGAAATCATTCGAATATGCTGATTTGCTGCTCAAGAAACATTTATTATTAATGTTGAAAACAGTTGTGTTACTTAATATTTTTCTGGAAACCATGATACATTTTTTCATGATTCTTTGATGAATAGATAGAACATTTTTAATAGATTTTTTGTAACATTGTAAAAGTCTTTACTGCCACTTTTGATCAATTTAATGCATTCTTGCTGAACAAAATGATTAATTTCTGAGGAAAAAACTAAACAAATTACTGACCCCAAACTTTTGAACACATTGCCACATGTTGAAAATGCACCTGTAAAAGGACAAAAACAATAATAAAATCAACAAAGAAATGTGTACAATAAATGACCAATTCAAAGTTCCGTAACAAAATGTAGTTGGTTTAATTAAATAATCAAAAGTGGCACAAGAAAGGTAATGTAACAATGAGAAACAACACTTGATGACACAATCTAGTACATAGCTTGCCTCAGCAAAATGCCTACAGTAGTTTCATAAGGTCTCATAAAAAAGGCACCTTTTCACTGCCTTGATTTAAAACGATTGCCTTCGGGTACCTTCTTCTTGTCTTATTCTTTGACAGTCTGTCTGATTTACACAGTACCACTGCGGAGATTTCACAAAATGTCATTTATATCAGTATCTCAAACGTCGTTTAAAAATGTTTATAAACTTGAAATGATTCGCATTTGTACTTTCTAGAGCCTTAGAAGACAAATATATTAAATATTACAAATCCTTCACAAAACATTTTTTTTAAATTTATACACACAGAACACTGCATTGTTATACATGTATACATATGGAATACGATAGGAAAATATATACAAAGGGACATGCACACAATAACAGCACTTCCGTTCTTGTCAAACCTCTCCGCGCTGACACAGGAAGTGATCTCCTTTGCTTTCAGCCAAAAATATAAAATCATTGACCCTGATCATGATTACCCATACAAAAAAAGGAGACGCTAACAGTTCCCTCCTACTGCGATTAAATATACATCCGGTAAAACGCTCACAGACTGAGACCATTATATTGCTACCATGCTTTCAGAAAGAGGCTAAGTTTACAAGAACTGTAAGGTTTTGCTAGTTTAGTTCAAGCAAATACATGTAAGCTTTCTCATAACAATGAAATTATCGCATAAATCTCTGAAGATTAAAGTGCACAAAATGGCTCTATTCTATTGGCAAGTGCTCTTATGGTCCACAAGGATATACCTAGCTTCTTTTGTGTCTCTGTTTCATTCTCTTTATCTTCCACCTTCTTTTAGGGAGTTGATGCGGGCACATATTTTGAGAGCGGGGCCGAGTTTGACATTCATGGCGCTCATCAAATGGTCTTCGGTCAGAAGAAGCAAGGCCTGCCCGTCGATCTCTTGGGCTCTGAAGGATTCTGCGATGTCTTGACACCCTTAGATAATTGAGGTGGGTTAAAACAGTACTGCTAACATTCACATAATGGAACTAAGTTTGGAAAAAGTTTGTCAAGATAAATTTAATGTTAGCTTGAGAAAGCCTGGCTAACAGAGAGAGAGAGAGAGAGAGAGAGAGAGAGAGAGAGACAAGAGGACAGACAGACAGACAGACAGAGATAGATAGATAGATAGATAGATAGATAGATAGATAAATAGATAGGGGTTCTTTGTACCTGGTAAATTGGATATAAAGCTTGACACTTGATCCACCGACCACTGAGCTGGTTCTGGATAGGGGGAGACATCGGTGGGAGACACAGGATCTATGGGTGAGGTGGGAGCACTTCTCGTCTCCTCCACCGTTTGCCTGACTCTAATCTCTCGCTCTCGTTCCTGTTCCGTGTGTCTGCGGAGCCTGGTCTTCATTGGAGCAGCCGTCACATCTTCACCCTCGTGTGGCGGCTGCTGAAGGATTCTCCACTGCTCCGTGGTCCCATGTTTGGCCTAGACGGTAACAGAGTTAAGTATAGCACACAGATCTCAAACAAGTGTATTGTTTTACAGGCCTTGGACAAACCTGGTGGAAATTTTCCTCAGCACCACTGAGCTCAGATCTGTGGCCCCCCTCACTCACACAGCGCCTGAGCGCACGGAAACGTTTGGTGTAACTGAACCTGCAAGAAGATCGAGAAGGTAAACAAAGGTTGTCTTTAGTCAGCCCAACATACTGACCAAAATCAGCCTTGCAGCTTGTAATGTGTGTCAAGGGTTGATGTTTATCACAAACCATGACCACATCCTGTCACAGTATGTATGTGTAAGTGTGTGAGTCTTTTTAGGACAATGCTAGCTACTGGCTTTGAGCGCATGACTCACTATTCCACCATACTTAAATACAGTGCTCCTAAAAACACTTTTGTATACTTAAAAATGTATCAAAGTCATTGCATTAGAAACAAAATAGAAAAAGTGGCGTTTGCAAACAAATGATTCAGCTTTTGTCTTAGCTAACTTCACTTAGCATTGCACATTTTGCAATGACCAAGTTGTCATTTTTAGTTCCTCAATTTGACATATAGGTGTTCTAGTACAGTAACCACAGTTGCAGTTCACCACATTAACTATGAACCAAACAAATCCTTATTTTTGTAAACAGTTCTCTTCAAAATATCGAGAAAGTATTTTGGTTCTGTATTACTTTAATATAAACTCCACTTAGTTTGATAATTGCTGTATAATGAAATAACATTCATAACATTTATAGGTGTCCAAACATTTAATGCGGACGCATGCATATTAATTTGTTAAGCTGCTGAGGGAAATACCCTTTTCAACACCACACAAAGAGTCAATTTGACATGTGTTCTTTTATTCTT